ATTAAAACTGGATATTCATTGTTTCTGTAGACAGTCTTCCCAATTAACATATTCACTAGAATATTTATGGAAAGCATACACAAAAAAGAGTGTGAACAGCATTAAAGTGAATCCATTTAAATACTAAGATGAATATTTGCAGCCTTCCTTCATTTCACTTTATTGTATTTTATGAGGTGTTTGCCCAACTCTTGCTTCAATTATGTCTCTACAGATTACTTGGACTTAAACATACTGTCAGAGAACGATAGTTGTCCAACACTGGAGTGAAAAGAAGACAATCAAGAAAAGCAAGTCCCGGGGAAGAAGGCAGGCTCTGTTTTTAAAATGTTACCCTGGCAGTTAAGAAAAAACAGTCAACTTCCTGCTCTCTCACAGACTCCCGACGCAATCTCACACAACTTCTCAAGTTTTCTTCTTAAGGTTATGTTACTGACTCTTCCTTTCCTGTGAAGTATGTTCCACACAGAAGCCCTACACAGTTTAGGGCTTTCACCCTCACATGGATCCACCATGCAGAAACTGATAACTCAACTGTATTTTCATCCTGTCAAAACAGAGGTGACTGAATCTGCTGAGGCCACACCACCAGTGGACATTTTTTTGAGGAATCGGTAAACTAGGGAGCAGGTGTCAAATTACAGATCCAAGTCTCCATTTTACATGACCTTCATGGTAAAGGGGATAGGAAACTGCTGCATATAGCTTGGAAATGTATGCTATTTCTGGAGCTACTGATGGTTAGTGAAATTGCTATTTTCTTTCTAATGAAAATTTGTCCTGTATTATTTGATTATTTCCTCTTCCCTGTTTTAAATGCACTCCACCCTTCTTACTCTAATACCTTGACTTTTGAATGTACTTTAAGAATGTTGGAACAATTAGCTTTTTCATTCAAAGTAACTGATAACTGAAATTATGCTGTCCTTGTGCATTATTAAGAACAACCACAGTAACCAGGTACGTTCAAAGGCTACACGATATTCAAAATCCTCTTTAATATTCTAGTTCATAACCTTAATAGACAATTATACATGATTAATGAGGCTTTTAGTAGCTGCTGTTGTCACAGCTTGGCTAATGCCACCTCCAATGAATATTCCAAGGGAAGGGTCTTACTGGCAGTGTCTGAGTGACAACTGTGAAGTCGCAGGCTGCAACGTACTTTCTGACAAGAAAAACAATGCCCAAAATGAAACAAAATGCTGTCCTAAAGAATTGCAAACTGTTTAAAAAGCAGAACATGGGAACTGACTACATTAGGGCATATTTCATATTACAAATTCACTAACAAATAACTTCTGAAGGTTTTTAAAATGTGATCGCACTGCCATGCTATGGCAAATGAATAACTTAAGTTCTTAAAGATAAACACTCAGATGAGTAATGTAATTCCCAATTACATCAAGAACATGTAATTTTGTGGACACATCACTGCAGATATCAGTACTGAAGAAAGATATTTGATTCTAGAGCCCTGAAACATACAAATAAACAAAAAAGCATACAAAAATAGAGCACAACATTTTTTTGTTATGACACCTCAGCTATCTCAACCTTTTCAGTTTAGTTAAAAAAAAGACTGAGAGGTGATTTGACTACTCTATGTAAGTACCTTGAAAGAGAAACATACCCAGGCCTGACAGGGAAATAATTAGCATCGATTCACCAAGAGTAAATCATCTTGATTAACCTGACTGCCTTCTGTGATGAAATGACTAGATCTGTGAATGAGAGATGACCAGTAGATGTGACCTGTGTTGAACTTACCACAGCTTTCAGTATGGTCTCCCATAGCATCTTTGTATCCAAGTTGGGATTTTACAATTTATATGGGCAGACTACTAGGTGGGTGAAAACCTAGCTGGCATGTTGAGTTCAAAGGGTAATGGTTATTCATCCATGCACGTGGAGTTCCTCAGCATCTATTCTGCGATCAGTCCTTTCAAGGAGAGATCAGAATTCACCCTTATCAAGGCTGCAAATGTCATCAAGCCTGGGTGTTGCAGTCAATAAACTCACAGGCAAGGATGCCACCCAGGGGGGACCAAGACAGGCTGGAGGAATGAACAAAGCCAAGCCCTGTACCTGTGAAGGAGTAACCCTCTCATAATGGCACAGGCTGCGGACCAGACCTACTGGGAAGGACATGTAGTCCTGGTGAAGACGGAACCAGGCTCTTCACAGTGGTATGTGGTGAGAGGGTGAGTGACATCAGACTTAAACTGAAGCAAGGGAGGTTCAAACTAGATATAAGGAGAAACTCTTCCACCTGTGGACAGTCAAGCAGTGGCACAAGTTGCCCAGGGAGGCCATGTAGTCTCTATCCTTGGAGGTTTTCAAGACACAACTGGATAAAGGCCTAAGAAATCTTGACTGACCTCAAAGCCCACCCTGATTTGAGCAGGAGTTTAACCAGAGAACTCCGGAGGTCCCTTCCACCCTGAATAATTAAGTGAGTCTATGAAGATATCAGGTACTGACAATTTCTTTAACTTAGTGGAGAAAAGTATAACAAGAACCGATTGCTTGAATCTAAAACCAGATGAACTGAAAAGCAAACTTCTAGCACTGCCTGTGATTAACCGAAGAAACCAGTGCCAGAAGACAGAGAGGACTCTCCACTCCTGCTGATTTCAAATCAAGGCACAGTGCTCTTGTGGGACATCTTTTACTCAAGTATACACACAAAGAGCTTAAAACAGAAGTAAATTGTGTGAACCATAATGGAGCACAAAGCAAGAAGTCATATAAAATGCCAAAATGGCTTTAACTCTCTGCCCGTAATGCCTCCAAGTTATGGAAAAATTTACTTATTATTCGGCCAAATAAATATTTTAACTGACCTTAGTTTTTAACCAACAAAGATTAAATCACGCCCCATCCAAAAATTAAAATAAAATAGATACAGAAAAATAACAGAAAGAGATACTAACTTTATAGAATTTCCAGTCCTTTTCCCGTGCAAGGCGTCTTAATAGGTAATAGGCTTTGCTCCCTGGTTTGCATTTAAGATTAATTCGCACTGAGAGCTTTAAATCATTTCAAATACCATGTAGCAGTAAATTTCAAGATTTGTATTGAGCTGTCCGTAAAAACAAAGGATTCTACACACACAGGAATTTAAAGGAGCATGCCATTACCAATTGTGGACACAATTAAAACAGTCATTCAAACAAGGCAGAATAATACTCTTCCAAAAGAAAAAAAGGTGAGGCCTGAATTTGCTCACCTTTTAAAAATCAAACAAAATCAGTACTGTTCTGCCTGCCAGATCATTAGTTTAGAAGTATACAGCCAGCACCCCTCATATTTCCAATTTAACATGAATCCCATAACTGTTTCATTCTAGAATGAGCTCAAAGAGTTACTGCCAATTAAGGCAGAATTTTAAGTAACCAAATAAATTTGCATAGGTAAATATTTGTACCTGGCACGTAACTAATTCAGGAATGTATGTAATACACAAAGAAAATCTTTACATGTTCTTACTTGTAATTTAACTTGGAATTCAATTTTGTTTTGAAACGAAGCACAAATTTGACAGCCAGTTACAGGAAAGAAGCTTGACATTTTAAACAATGCCTTTTTAAAATTATCAGACTGTAAACTAGTGTTTGAACAGTTTTTAAAAGATTGAAACACCTTTCCTCGTGCTAAGATAACTACAAAGGATGAATAGCTTTTATTACTCTTGCCAAAATAATACACCTATTGCCAAACATAAAATGTTCCACCTCAAAAAAATAAAAATAACATAATAAAAAAAAAAGAACACTACCAAGTAACAAAAAATAGGAGATCCAGCATCTTCTAACCTCACCTAACTGAAGTTTCACTGCCAAACTCCTTTAAGGCCAGAAAAAAAGTTCATCAGATAGACAATTTAAAAGGCAGAGTAGTGGTTATTCCAAGCCTGATTATAAAAAGTGTTAGTTATATAGCTGCAAGTAAATGTACTTATAAACTTGAGGATCTCCACCTCAAGAAAGAAGAGGGCAAGAGATATTCCAGCTATAGCAGTCCATCGCCACCCAGAGGGACAGGGATTCAAACTAATTTTATATGAATAGATTTTATATAGGTATTAATTGACTTTCTGTGTTCAGCCTTCTAGCACAATAAACATAGAGGCAATGGCCAGAACTAATAATCTCCACACAAAAGCAAGACAAGAGCCTCATGTGTTTGATGGTTTTGGCCATGTAGGTATTTTTATAACTAAATCAAGAGCCCACGAAACATTTTACAGAATTTTTTGCTGCTACAGTGACACACCTCAGAGAGCAGCATCCCACCACTGTTTGACATTCCACAAACTAGGTACCACCATGTGTTCCCAGATGCAGTGGGCAGCAGCACACTGGACCACTGGACAAGAGAAAGCCTGCAGCTCAGTGGCCATGACCTAGCAGAGCCCACTATGCAAAGAACCATGCCAGATACACATCTCCCTGACTTGCACAACAGGCCCTCCATGCTCCTGTAGCCAGATACACTTCCTGCTTTGTGTCCCAAAATCTGACTCCGTGGTCCACGTCATCCATACGTATGAGACCAAACACACAGGTCCACAAAAACAAGAGCTATGTAAAGAGTGTCCAGAATAGGGATGCATTTTTAAGCACTTTTCAATAATATTAAGGACAGATCTGAAATGAGACCTTAATTTGAATTAAAAGTAAAACCTTACAGGGCATAGGATAGATTAACTTTTAAAAATCAGAAAACACAGAGAAGAAAATAGTGAGTTTTTTGTTGCACTTTTAAAAGTTCAAAGATGAGAGGAAAATCAAATAACTGGGGCCAGCAATTACCTTCTCCTCAGCAGTGAGAACATGGTAAAGAAGGACCTTTGTTGAAATCTGCACCTTGGGAACTATGTCCTATGCAAGCCAAACCAGATTTATTTAAATAAAACCAGTGATGACTGATCTGTGCTTGCCTGTCCAGATACAAATCAAACAACACCCCACCCCCAGCCATTATTTCCCTCCTACCTTCAAAACTCCCAGCAAACAGATAAATCCATGTAATGGCTGGGACAAAAAGGACGGTCAGAGAGGCAGCCAGGAATTTCCGTCGCCCTCTGCAGAGTCCCAGCATTCTCTCAGGAGTGCAGATTCCCAACACAGTGCTGTTCCTATGTTGGAAGCAAATAATCCACAGCCTCCCACATATTACTCCCTGAAAAGAAAAGGAAAAAAATATTTTAACAGCTTATTTTTCTACAGAAATTTAGACTGTGCCAGTGTTCCTAAACAGTTAAAAGAACAAGGCTAAAAATAGGGCTACTGCAATTGCAAAGCAGTACCCATTTCAAAATTATCCACAACTACTTAATAATAAAGCACGTTTTAGAAGTCAGACTAAGACAGTAAGTCAATAAAACATATATCACCTAAATACACACTAAGCTAGTCTTAGAAAGAGACATCACCTTTATTTGTTTCTTTGCCACACTTTTACTCCTCAGAAATTCTGGGTTCTTTGATGCCTATGTGTGCTGGTGCCCCATGGCAGATAAAAGAAAGCCACCCCTATTTTTTCACCTGCTCCTAAAGAGCAAAAGTCACACCAGTGAGTCAATGACCTGGCTCCAAGTGGTCATGAACTCAAGGGAGTGAACTGAAAAATGAAAGGTAAAATTTGGAGACAGAGGGATGTTATTAAAATGACCCACTTTGACAATCAAAAAAGCACTGCAGATGAACTGCTATATAAAAGGGGAGAAGAGAAAGAGCAAAATGGGCAAGGAAGCTTCTTTAGGCACAAAAGGCTATATCAGGAGCTTTAGACTGTATGCTATGAGAAAAGAAGGGGATTCTGGAGAGTACCACTGTTTTTATGAGGAATAAAAAATATTCTGCTCTTAACTTATTTAAAATAATTGTTCTACATTTCAGAGGGGCCAAGACGGCAAAATAATCTGATTGTATTTATTCACAGGAAGACTAATATTCCCACACCAGTGCAGGCATGCAGGGCATAAAAAGAATGTTTCACTTTGTTTCGTTTGTTTGTTTTGTTGTTTTTGTTTTTTGTTTTTTTTTTTTTTTTTTTGAAAAGGGAGGAAAAGCCAGTGTTAGACTACAGAAGTTGGAGAACGAAAGGGAAGTATTAAGTCCATGCAAATCTAGTTCAGGTTTTGTGTGAAAGGGATAATTTTTTCTAATTTTAGAAAAAGCATTGTTCTACAAGAATGATAGGGAAAGAAACACAGACTATAGCAGTACAAGGTGTTTAATAACAGTGCCCTTTGGCTTATGCTTAAACTAGCACTAGAGCTGAAACAAGCAATTAAAGCATTTCTACACTGACATATTAACAATGGCTACTGCGTGTCTTGAAACTGAGCTCTACAACTCCACATATATCACAGTGAAAGCCAATTCTGAAATCAAATTACAGCAAAAAAGGAGAATTATAGACAAGATAAATGGGTTCAGACAAAGAACTCTGCTGCTGGAGATACCCAGGTGCTGTAATCAGGCAAACTTACAGCTGTTCCTCAAATGTTCAATATAGCCCACTTTACTACACTACAGTTTAAGAGCCATGATAGTACTCTGACCTTGAAACTGATAAAATGGACTATAATTTGTCCAGAGACAGCACAGAAAGCATTCCATGGTGTCAGCTTTTCAACGCAATGAATGCCTCACCACAGAGATTTTGCACAAAATATGTGGACGGACAATATAACAACTGTGGTATTAAGAGTCACTGTGTTAGACAGAGATACACATTTGGTAGATAAATTGTGGAGAACTCACCTTTATTCACTGTATTAGGATAACGATTACATTTCATTTCTTTTCCTTACATCACATAGCTTGTACAACTACTGTGAAGAAAGTCCTTTACATGCCTACTTGAAAAACATAGATAATTCTTCTGGCTTCTGTGTTTTACACTTTTTTAATGTGTGTATATTGTAAAGTGCACAGAATCACTTAATTTAAGTAGGAATTTATTTTTTTCTTTAACATCACTGTGTGTTCCACTAATATCAATCTGAGCATGAAAAAATAAATCTTTGAAAAAATAAACTCACAAGCCGGGTCATTCTCAAATAGTCACATCTTGTAATGCATCATGCACTGGATACAGGCTGTCCCTACCAATGCTACTGGCAAAACTTACATGTAGCAAAGTAAGAGTCAACACTACATGCTTCTGAAATCATGCTGGTACAAGTACACTGATACAAGTTTTTGCGATAATGACACCCAGACTCTGAAGCTTGGGATTATAGTGCTGGTAAACAGATTAATTAATCCTGGGACACATATTTAAGAAATAACTCATTTTTTTCCTATATATTCTTTTAAATGTCCATGCAAGTTAAGTTTCTGAACAAGTCGACATGGAGGACAAAATCCAGCTTTTCTCCCTCATGAATGTAAAGTACCCTAACAAGTTAAGAAAGTATAAGGAGCAATATTGAACTCCCAGCTGAGCTACAAAGGAAAGATAGGAATGTGGCAAAATCAGTTTTCTACAAAATGTCATCATTCAGACAAAACAGCCAAATCATTCTGCACATTCATGCACATCTTTTATCTAACTAGGAGGACATTCGGGAAAACCCTAGCCAGACAAGCCATCTTGTGATGGATTATCCTAGGAAATGTTGAGATAATTTCTTTTAATGGTGCTTTAAAACAGAAAAGAGCCATAAACTATTTTAAAGGAAGTTTCTACTATCTCCCCACATCCCCAAAGTTGTGAATAGCTTCCCTTGAGTCTTAAATATTCATTTGCAGTGTATAAAATCACCACACCTGCTGAGCACTTTTTTCCAAACCAGATAATGCATCATGTGTAAACTCCACACCAGAAATTGTATAAAAGGCCCATGAATAGTAATGAAGATGCTTAGCTTAAAGGAAAAAGCTTTGGACTCAATCGTATGCTCATTACTGATTTTACTCGTAAAGAATTTTACCTAGCATACCATCATCACATAAACTGAAAGAAGATACTGCAGTTCTTTGACTTGGTTTTCCTTTCAATTCAGCAGGTACCAGACTGATACCTGTCATGAAAGGGAAGTGCCTGTTGACACCGGCTGGGGCTAGGGCTCAGCACAGAGCAGGGTAGCACCGCGCACATTTCTGCCGTATGAGCTTGCCATTGCCTTTCAGACTTCTACAGCATCCGCTGCTCCTCAAGCCACGGTCCCGCTGAACCAGACTGTCACCTGCCTGAAAGGTCTTAAAAAGCAGTTTCGTGTACAGGCTAAAAATGAAGCTACTTCAGATGTGACACTGTTAGCTATATTCATCTTTTCAGTAATAACAAACGTAACACTGTAAGATGGTTGACTACATTTACACAAATCCATGCAGTGTTCCTCCTGATAGCTTTTAGTCTTAATATACGTGATAATTAAACACCTGTACTCAGAAATACATAGCATGAAATATGTTAGAAGTTAAAAAAAAAAAAAAAAGATGAGAAAGTAACTGGTCAATTTAAGCACAGGATATAGGTGCAATACTCCGATCTAAAAACAGCCAGTGGCTCCTCTTTATCTGTTGCCCAATGTAGGCAACAGAGAGGTGTATTTTCAGATACATGAACATCTGCATCTTTAGCCATCTTTACTGGGTTTATCTCAAAGCAAGGGAGATCAAGATTAGCCCCAGAGTGAAAGGGAACAGTTGGGAGAGTTCCTGCTATGGGGACTGCAGTTTGAAACATGGCCTCAGCTTCACTCTTCCAGACACAATCAGATTTTCTGCCTGTGCCACAGATACAAAGAAGGTGCATGCATTTCAGGATATTATTCTACCTTGGTCTTAAGTTGTTAATGTATTGAATGTGCTCCAAGAGCATCATACAATTGTATTTTAGAAATCTGATTAAATAAGTAATATCCACAAAAAATAGCTGTACAGGTATCATGCATGTATGTCTTGCTGTCAGTAAGTCAGATGTTCTACACTTCTACAATACACACAGTTCAAGATTTATAAAACCTACTGCACATGTACAAATCAACAGACATGAATACAGGAACCTCAGGCCAGCTCATCCTTGATTACTGCTAATGGCGCTATAAAAGACTACTAGCTTGGACAACGCCTGTGTGAGGGGTCACAGTGGGAATTAAAATAAATTCTGTTTCTCAATACAAAGACTTAACTCACGACTTTCTTACCTCATGGCAACACTGAATGGAATTACTTTTGTTACCTTCATATACAGTCAAATGTTTTCACTGACTACCCTACCTTATCAGAGTGGTTGTTTTGTTTTAAATCAAGGATTATCTCCTCAGCTAAGTGTGAAGCAGCTCTCAACCAGTATGAACAGTACATATATTAAAGCGTGTAACACAACACTAATCACACTGATATTCAGTTTCTCTTCATTTATTTTTTTTAATTACGGCATGACAGCTCGACTATGTCGGACATGCAGCAGGAGTTCAGTGGAACAATGGAAGTAATTATGAAAACAAAAATCAAACACAATTAACTAGATTTAACTGCTCTACTATAAAAAGCTTTTCCAACTGCTTCATACATTTCCTTGCATTTGCTACAGTTAATCTTATCCCAGTAATCTTCCATTTGTTTCCAGAGCCACTGAAATGAATATATACAGTTAAAGCTGTTTATACACCAATCCCATGCCTTGGCTTTGCTGTGTTTCTTGAATTAATGTTATCTAATTCTTTCTGCTTTTCCACACTTGCAGTCACAGAGTCAATGAACAATTTCTACTGTAAAGATTTTCCCTTGGCTCTGTGTCAATATAGCATCCGTCCCTTATGAGAGATTTTTCACAGTTTTTTGCCAGACTCAAAATATAAATAACCTGAAGAAAAAAGCAGCATCTTAGCCAGTACTTTTCTGTTTTTCTCTAAAATGTTGATCATGTGGGGTTATAATGAGTTTACTCCCTGGTAGTCAGCTTTTTATCTTGCAGCTTTGCAGTCTTTCAATTACGGAAATTGGTTGTCATGTAACAGATTTTTTGTTGTATTAGAGAAAGGTTTGCTACCATAAAGGCAGGGCGTGGAATAAACCCCACATTATGAAGTAAAATATGAAAGAGTTAAATGGTAAATATTTATTTAAATAAACATCCCCTTTCCACTTCTCCAGTTCTTAGAACAGAAATAGCATTTTGAAGGAAAATGCCATCTCCTCTCTCATCAACCTCTTATTCTT